TCCACAAAAAAAATGAATAAATACAATAAAATAAAATCACAATGCTCAAGAGACTAAGGCAAGAGGATCACAAGTTCAAGGCCAGCCTGAGCAACTTACTGAAACCCTGTCTCAAAATAAAAACAGGCCTGGGGATGTAGCTTAGTGCTGGATCACTTGCCTAACACGGTGAAGCCATGAGTTCAGTCCCCAGTAACACACACACACACAGACTCATAATATAGTAAAAAATGAAAGAAAAAAGTTGACCCCTCCAGAGTGCCAATATTAAACAGTGAAATAAAATAGGTGATAACAAAAGAGGCTAAGAAGGAACAATCAGATGAGAAAATTCAAAAGTGTGGCTCACTGAAAGCCAAGGGTTAGAAATTTGAAAAAGGGAGCAATTACCAGTTCTGTCATGCAGTTTAAAGTCAACTATAAAGAGGCCTAATAAGCCTTCATTTTGTCCATTAGATTAAGATGTGTGGAAGCATCTCAGTTGATTACAAAATGATTAAGAGGCAAGGAGATGGAGAAGCAAATACAGACAGCTTTTTCCAGAGGCACAACAGTAGCTGGGCATGATAGAGCACACCTGTAATCCCAGCACTGCCGAGGCTAACTCAGGAGGATCACCTGAGCCAACCTGGACTACACCATGAGACCCTGCCTCAAAAAAAAGAAAAATAGGGCCAGGGATTTAGCTCATTGGGGCTGCCACCTGCCTTGCAAGCACAAGGTCCTGAATTCTATCCCCAGTACCAACAAAACAAACAAACAAACAAACAAACGAAAAGAAAAATAGCCAGGCCTGGTGGCACATGCCTGTAATCCCAGTACTTGGGAGGGTAAGGCAGGAGGATGGCCACAAGTTCAAGTCCACCTTGGACTACATAGGAGACATTGTCTCAAAAAACAAAACAAAACAAGAAAGGAAGAGAGAGCTGGGGATTTAGCTCAGTGGTTCTGCCACCTGCCTTGTAAGCATAAGATCCCAAGTTCGATACCCAGTACAAAAAAAAGAAAAAACTGTAAAAGAAAGGAAGAAAGAACAAAGGTAACACAAGAAGAGGAAGTGGAATGAAACAAAGACTTCTTCCATTAACTTCAGATAACTGACATTCTGCTTTTCTAAATAAGCCAGATATTTTTAAATAAGCAGGTGGAAATTCACTAGTATAGACAGTGGACAAATTTTTTTGAACTAATAAACTTTGCAGTCACCCAAAATGATCAATCTATCTTACAGGTAATTGTATGGTATGCTAACATCTTGTGTAGAAGGAAAAATAGAGGCTTTACAGTCCAACCAGAGAATAAAGCCTAGCTCTAATCCCAGGTAAAACACTAAACCTCTCAGTTTGTTTCCTGCTCTGAAAAATGGACATACCACCTCACCTACAAGATATACAAATCCAAGGACATAAATATCCAAAGACTTGACATGGGCCTTTATACTTAAGTAGATAGGAAGAGTGGGCTCTTAGATATTGGACTGTGCTTTATTTTCCTCATCTGCATTGTAACAGTTATTGTCAGGCACTGTGGCACACACTTTTAATCCCAGATACTTAGGAAACCAAAGTAGAAAGAGCTTAAGTTTGGGCTAGTCTGGGCAACGTGTCTCAAAATCTCAGAACATACTTTTTTTAGTACTGGGAATTGCACTTATGGCCTTCTCACTGAGTTATTCCCAAGCCCTTTTTTTATTTTTTATTTGAGACAGGCTCTTGCTAAGTCACTAAATTGCCCAGGTGTACATAGTTCAGTGGTAGAATACTTGCCTGTCCATGTGTAGCCTGGGTTTGATCCCTAGTACTGGGTTTTGTACAGGCACCACTGACTCCCAAACCAGTGGTGGTTGTCAGGCCCACACCAGCCCAGATCCAATTCCTGACCTCAGGAAAAGAATTTTTCTGGTAGTCTATTATGATATCTTTTCCCTGATAGTGTTTGTCTTAATTACTTTTCTTGCTGAGACAAAATATCTGCACCTAAAGTTAAAGGAGAAAAGGCTTATTTGGCTCACAGTTTGTAGAGGCTTCAGTCCATAATTGGCTGGCATTCAGGGCAGGGGGCACCACAGAGAAGAAACAGTTCATGGCAGGCATAAGACAGCAAAGCAAGTGATAACAAACTACAGGTAATTAGTAGCAAGCCACTTTGTGTCCCTTACACTGTTTCCAGGCTATCCATCATTAGGGCAGATAGCACTCACACTCTTAATCCTAGCTCCCTTAATCTTAGCGTTGCACCATGAATCAATCACATACTCTAGATTCTAACCACTTCTGAAAAAGCCATGCCTATAACCTTATGAGGCGGGACACCCCCTATAACCTTATGGGGGACACCTATACATAAGCCATAACAGTGTTCTACCACCATTCTGACCTTAGATTTCTACAAAGGACCTTGAATTTTGATTGCAATAGTTTTCCTATTGTAATAGTTGAATGTGTCTTCCAGGAAATACCTAAATATATAAAAGAAACACATGTAGCTGGGAACATTGACTAACTCAATAACTGCAGCTGCAATAGAAGACGGTTTAAAAGATATTCTCTGGGGCTGGGGATTTAGCTCAGTGATTCCGCCACCTGCCTCACAAGCACAAGGTCCCTGGTACATAAATAAATAAAAGATATTCTCTGCCTTTCCATGATTCACAGAGCCCATAAAGTGAAATAATAGTACTGATAAAAGCTCACGTTTGTTGAACACTTACTATGCGTGGAACTTTAAATCATTATAATAAACAAGAGATTGATACTAATATAAACCTTGTTTTATAGGTCAGGGACCTCAGCAGAGCACCACTTTACACATAAGAAAAACATCTCACTGGGCATGGTGCTGTACACCTGCAGTCCCATCACTTGGGAGGCTGAGGCAGGAGTATCACCATGAGTTTGAGGTCAGCCTGGACTACATAGTAAGTTCAAGTCCAGCCTGAGCTACATAGCAAGACCCTGTCTCAAAAGACCAAAAGAAGAAAAAGAACACATATCAGAGAGGTTATGTAACTGGCCTGTTGTCTCACAGTCACAACACCAGGTCACAAATGGTATACCTAAGGGCCAGGGATTTAGCTCATTGGATCTGGCACCTGCCTCACAAGCTCAAGGACCCAAGTTTGATCCTCAGTACTGGGGAAAAAAAACAAGGTATACCTAAGATTTGCACCTAGGTAATCTTACTCCAAAGCTGTGACTTTAGGGTGGCACATGTTCAAAAATTATCAAACCAAAAGGGTTTTTCAAGTATGTGTACAGCTGCCTGTCTTTACACAGCTAGCACCTGGATGCTAGAATAAGTATAGCCTTGTAATCAGCCAGGCCTCAGTTTGCCACTTACTAGCTCTATGCTCTTAGGTATTAGACTGTGCTTTATTTTCCTCATCTGTATTGTAACAGTTATTGTCACTGTGGCACACACTTTTTTTTTTTTTTTTTTTTTTTTGGTTTTTGAGACAGGGTCTTGCTATGTAGCTCAGGCTGGACTTGAACTTACTGTGTAGTCCAGGCTGACCTCAAACTCACGGTGATACTCCTGCCTCAGCCTCCCAAGTGATGGGACTGCAGGTGTGCGCCACTACGCCTGGCCTGTGGCACACACTTTTAATCCCAGATACTTAGGAAACCAAAGTAGAAAGACCTTAACTTTGGGCTAGCCTGGGCAACTTGTCTCAAAATCTCAGAACGTACCTTTTTTAGTATTGGGAATTGAACCTACAGCTTTCTCACTCAGTTATTCCCAAGCCCTTTTTTTATTTTTTATTTGAGACAGACTCTTGCTAAGTCACTAAATTGCCCAGGCTGAACTCAAACCTGCAGTTCTCCTAACCTCAGCCTTCTAGACTGCTGAGATTACAGGTATGTGCCCCTATATCTGGCTTCAAAATAAAGAATTTTTTTAAATAAAAATTAAAAAATAAAGAGTTTTATGGCTGGGGATTTAGTCCAGTGGTGCCACTGCCTACCTTGCAAATGCAAGGACCCAAGTTTAATCTTCGGTACCAAAAAAAATTGTTTTTTTAAAAAGGGCTGCAGATGTGACTCAGTGGTGGAGCGCTGGCCTAGTGTGCTTGAGGCCCTCGGGTTCCATCCCACTCCTGCAAAAGAAATAAAATTTATGATTTTCGAAGGATTATTATGAGGAGGAAGCAAAATTATATGAAATATAAGGCCTATGTACATTTGGTAAATAGTACTGTAGTAGTTTTCATTATGTTGTATTATGATTATAAGTTGGAGTCTGATTGGTTTGTAGTTAGGAAGAGCTTAAGGATCAGAGAAGGGAAGGGATTTAACCAGATCACATAAAGACGGAGCCAGCAGTCCAGTCTCCTATCTTGGCTCCTGACACACTGGTAGCCATACGGAGAAAAGCCACTGTGTCACAGGAGCAGCAGTCCTGGTAGTGAAACACAGTGTCTGTGAACCCCAAGGTAAAAAGACAAATTAATGTAAGGGGAAAAAATGAGAATCAAGACTTGTCATGTAGAGGTACAAGATCCCAACAATGAATGTAACTGTACTGTATCCCTAAACTGTACCAATAAACTCAATTAAAGCTGAAAAAAAAAAGAAATTAATTTTCATAACGGGCACACTCATTAATTACTGTTATTGCAAGCCCGAGGAGAGTAGCACTTTCCCAGCAATCTCTCAGTGAAGGCTGTCCTTAATGAAGCCATTTAGCACTCTCAAGGTAGGAAAGACAGTTACACTAAATGTCACCTCTTTGTTCTGTCATTTTATTTACCCAGCAGACAATCCAGTTGAGCTCTTTGCTAGGACTGGGGACACAGGAGAATGAGGAGGTCCCCAAACCCAATGAACACATAAGCATAGTCTGTGCCTCTTGAGCATTGACACCTCTGGGATTCTCATCAAGGCCACTCAGCCGGTTCCACCTCAGTCCTAATAAGAGCACTGGCACACTCTGTACAAAGCAGCAGTCCCCTGCTTCCTTCCAATTCAATAACCACGTATCTTGATTTTGATGTGTTTCAGCCGGGAAGGGCTACCCCTGCAAGACGTGTAAGATAGTCCTGAACTCCATAGAACAGTACCAGGCTCACATCAGTGGCTTCAAACACAAGAACCAGTGAGTAACCATTCTTTGAAATTCAAGGATCTCCAGCGGGAGCTCAGGGCTTCAGAATCAGAACAAAGCCCAATAGTCTCTGGCCTAAAGGAAACCCTGGTAGCCTTTTCTCTGTCAACAGACGATCAGTCAGTTAAAAGGAAAGTGTTTCCTCTATAATTTTAAAATTGTCTTCTCCCTAAATTTTTCTCCCATCAGCTTCCCAAAGCCTTTGGATTGCCTGGGCTGAGTGTTTTAGAAGTGAAGAATAGATGATTTTCTTTGTTGTCCTCTAAGAGTACTTGGATAGGGCCAGAGATTTAATTCAGTGGTTCCGCCGCCTGCCTTACAAGCATAAGGACTGAGTTCAATCCCTGGTACCAAAAAAAAAAAGAGTACTTGGATGTCCTTGCTAGCACCAGTGTGACTAAGGAAGCAGGAATCTGTACACTCACCCAACCCCACTGGCCTGAAGTCCCAAGTCTTCACTGCATCATCTCTGTAGCAGAGCCCCCTCTACAAGTTATTACCAAACACCAGCATCTTTGAGCAATTACTTACTGACCACCTTCTGAGTAGTGGCCAAGACAGACCCAAACACTGCCCTTATGACCTTACATTCTGATGGGAGAAAGCAAGCTAATAACAGTTGTGATAAGGCTGGAGATTTAGCTCAGTGGCACTGCGCCTGCCTCACAAGCACAAAGTCCTGAGTTTGATCCCCAGTACCAAAATAAATGAATGAATGAATGAATGAATGTTATAATAAATGTGTTGAAAAGAAATAGTAAACATAAAGTGATAATAATCTTAAAATCGCCAGGTGTAGGCCAGGGGGTTAGCTCAGTGGTTTTGCTGCCTGCCTCACAAACTCAAGGACCCGAGTTTAAGCCTTGGTACCAAAAAAAATTGCTAGGTATGGTGGCACAGGTCTTATCACTCAGGAGGCAAAGGTGGGAGGATTACTGTGAGTTCAAGACCAGCTTGGGCTACATATTAAGTTCAAGGCCAGCCTGAGATACATAGTAAGACCCTGTTTCAAAAAAACAAAAATTAATTAATTAATCTTGAAAGTGCCTGATGTTCATTGAGCCTGTCCTGTTGTAATGTGCCAAGTAAATTCTCTCAAGTTATCCTCACGACAACTGACTGGAAGGGATTGTTGCTCATTTTACAGATGTAGGCAACCAGCATTCAAAGTGATACTCTGAGAGAGGGCTTGATTCAGACTAAAGCCCATCTAGCTCACATTGTACTCCTCCCAGGATATCACACTGAGAAGGAGCTTGTGTCACCCACATGATAGGAAGAAGATCTGGCCCAAGCAGAAGGGCCATGTGGCTCTTGCCTCAGAAAGAGAGTTGAAAATACAGAATGATGGAATAAAAAATATCTTTGGTCCTCTTTACTCTTCCTGGAGTCTCCTATTCTTTGCTGGAGTAAATCTGCCTCCTTATCTGTGGATAATTGGAGAACTGGGACTTATTTAGCTGAAGAGGAGATAAGCCCCAGCATACCTGCCTTGCAGTCTGGCTAGTGGCAATTTCAGTAGACAACATGGAGCCACCAGAGACCTGCCCTACTTGAAACTACTAGTGCTGTTTATTGTTCTCTTCCTATACTTCTTAGCTGTGTAACCTTGGGCAAGTCAATAAACCTCCTGAGCCTCTACTTATTCTATAAGATTAAATTTACAATTTGTTGAATAAATCAATAGTTTGATATCATTAACAACTTCTCACCCACAGCTCTAAATTGGAGCATCCCCCTTTTACAACCAACTCAACATTACAACCAATAACTCAACATTATCCCATAGTGGCATAGTTAGTTGGAGTTAGACCAAGGATTCATATCCATCTGATTCTAAACCTCGTTCATTTTGCCTTATCACTATCAAATAGAACTGATTAACCTGACCTTACAGGCTGTGTGAGGTTTAGAGATCATATGTGTGAAGTGCTAGTGCTAATAAGTTTACTACAGGTAAACTTTGATTTATTCAACAAACATTTATTCAGTATCTGTTACATACCAAGCCCTGTTTTAGGCACCCTGGGGCTATAGTAGGAACCAAAACCAATGTTATCCCTGATCCTTTGGATCTTACCTCTAGAGACGGAAGCTGACACTAAACAAATCCATAAAAAAGTGAAACAGTATCAGGTGACCGGTCGTGGTGACTCACGCCTGTAATCCCAGCACTCGGGAGGCTGAGGCAGGAGGATTGTTGTGAGTTTGAGACCAGCCTGGGCTACAAAGTGAGTTCCAGGTCAGTCTCATTACATAGTGAGACCTCATCTCAAAAAACAAACAAATGAAACAGTATCAGGTGGTGCTAGATGCCCAGAAGGGATTGAAGCATAAAAGGAGAGCCAGTTGGTTTTTTTTACTGGTTTGGTTTGGTTTGGTTTTTGTTTTGTGTTTTGTCCAGTACTGGGGATTGCACCCAGGGCCTTCATACTGAGCTGGATGCCCAGCATTTTTTTTTTTTTTTTTGAGACAGAGTCTCACTAAGACATTAAGTTGCCCAGGCTGGGGTTGAACAATCCTCCTGCCTCAGCCTTCCAGAGTGCTGGGATGCAGGTGTGTACCACTGTACCAGTCTGAAGAGCCACTTTTGACTGAATGTTGGAGGAAGGATGGTACAGAATGAGTCTCGTAAATTAGGTAGCATCCAGGTCCTTTAGGGCCCTGTAGGCAGAGTAAATGGTTTGGTATAGCGGAAAGATATGGTCTGTAATCCTGAACCTACTACTTAAAAACTTACTTTGGGCCAGCCATTTAAACTTTCTGAACTTTAATTTCCTTGTATGTAAAATGGGGATGCTGTTCCTTAGCAGGCAGAATTGCCATGAGGATGGAATGCGTTAATGGAAGCAAAGCACCAGTGTCATGCCTAGCAGTGGGCCTCAGTAAAGAAATGCCGTCCTACTTATTGTTCCAAGGTACTAGAAAAACTATACTACCATGAGAACAGGTTATTTGGCACACCTTCACAAGTGTGCCGTTCACTGACCCAGTGCTTTTGTTTCTTCTCAAATTACAGATCACCAAAAACAACAGTATCACCCTTGGGCCAGATTCCAGTACAGAATCAACTCATTCAAAAAGACTCAAGCATCTTGGAAGACTAAAAATGTGTCTGTCCAACAGCTCGTGTTGGACCAACCATGAGCCAGCTTCCTGTGACTATTGTCAGCCCCTGGCTCCCTCTTCCTCCCTTCTTACACCAGGAGAAGATGTAGCCCTAAGCCACTGATTGGCCCAGGCAAATCCACTCCTGTTCCTCCCCTTTGGTATGGACCCTGTAGATCATTAAAGGTAGGCAGGGGTATTGAGAGGATTGACATAGTAGTTTGGAGAATGGCCTTCCTCCTCCAGCCCCTCTGGGCCATATGTTCTGTGGCCCAAGTGCCTGTTTTCCTCTTAAGGTCAGTTTTGGGCAAAAATTCCTGCAGCTAAAGACCAGAATTGTCCCTGGGCTCTAGGCATCTCCTGTGGAACCTGGAACTTTCATGCAGACTTTGCCAAGGAAGAAAATAGTTAGATAAAGTGGCTGCCATCATGGGAGCTTAGAGCTTCTATCACACTCCCCTGCTCCTCCAGAAAGTGCAGGCTTTCCTGAGCCTTGGACCAGATGCTGACCAGCTGTGCAGTTCTACCAACTGTGATGAGTCCTCCTGGAGCACTGACACCATTCTGGCAGAGCATTCCCATCTCTCCTGCCATCTCCATGGTTCATGATGGTGCTAAGGATCTGTAAGTGCTAAGAACAAGCTGGAGCTGGAAGAGCCTCCATGCCTAGTGGAATCATAGGAAGCTCCAATGAGGACCTTTTCCCTCCTCCATTAGAGGTGCTCTGGCCCAAGGTCATGTGGGAAAGTCCCCCACCTGCCATTTTCCTTAATGGTTCTGTGCCCTTAAAAGCAAACTGCCTCAGCCAGTCAGCTGAGAGGTTCATTGCTGCCTTTCAGCACTATTAAACCTTTCCTTCCCCTTGTACAGTGGACCACCCTGCCCAGGTTGCTGTGGTGCTATCCTTCACTCATCATCCACAAAGAAATTCCCAGGTACCATGGAGCCAGGGGAGCCCAGGGAAAGAAACAGAAAACTTGCACGTTTCTACAGTGAGGAGCTGGATGGTGGCACAGGTTTATAATCCCAGCACTTGGGAGGCTGAGGCAGGAAGATTAATGCAAGTTTGAGGCCAGCCTGGACTACATTGTGAGCTCAAGGCCAGCCTGAACTACGTAGTCTCAAACTTTCTACAGTGAGAAAACATGTTTCCTGGACCCCAACCCTAGATTTTTCTTAACTCTACTGTTCTGTGGCCTGGTACTTCCCTGAAAGAGCAGTTTTTCCTTACAGTTTTTGAGCAGGAACTCCAGGGAGTGTCATCTGAGGCTCCTCTTCATTGGGTTAAAGAAGCCTCCAGCTGCTGTTGTGCAGCCTCTCCTCCACTGTCTATCCCTTCACCTGTGAAATGCTTTGCGTATTGTGTGTGTGTGTACACGTGTGTACGCGTGTGCCTGTGCACTTATGCTCTTTGTCTCTTGATCACCAAATTATCCAATAAAGACCATCTTTCATAGCCAGATTGCAGCTTAACAGATAGGGGTTATGGGCCATATTCCCCTTAGAACTAGAGTCTCTGTCTTGCTACCCCTCTCCCCACACACTTAGATTCCCAGGGTCCTCAGTACTGATCTTAGGATTTGGGACAAAGACAAATACCCAGATCGCTTGACAAATCAGTAAATGTCTCCCAGGAGTCCTAAATTCAACACAGCTTCACTCATCCCTCTCCCCACTTCACCTAGGGAATCCTTTTAGAGCTTTCAATAATAACAAACAGCCCACTGTGGCACACATGCCATAAGTTCGCCATCACTGACCTAGGGCCTTCTGGAGGTCTTTGAAGGATTTGAACTAGGATTTGAACTCTGCTGTATGCTTGAGAGAATTATCCTGGCTGCTTTGTGGAGAAAGAATGCAGGAAGGAGGAAAGGAGACAGGTCAGTGTGGAGGCTGTGTTCAGGACAGCTCTCTCCAAGCTAACCCCTTCTGGATGGTTCAGTTCTACTTCCCTAATGTTCAGAGTGCTGTGTCGTGAAGTATTTGTTGACTGAATGGATGAAGGTGCATATGGAGAGGCATCCTTCTCCTACTTCGTTCTTTATCATAGACTTGATGGTTCTTGGAAGAGCCTCCACAACACGGGAATGGTGTATCATGGTGTGGGGAGCCCTTCATCCAGCCTGTGTTGTAGACAGCCAGACTACGAAGCCTAAGCTTCCATTCTTCTCTTGGCTGGCACCTCCTCGTAGCCAACAGTGGAAGGCTCTATGTGGCCCCCAAGGAGAGGTTCTCAGCCTTCAGCTTCCAAGCTCACACTACCTCAGCAGTTTATCCCAGAGTTCTGCACTATCCAGTATATGAGCATTTTCCCTGATTACCAGCAAGGAAGTAACAGCCCAAGGCATGAATGGGCTGCCCTGCTATGAGTCCCTGACCTGCAGGACCTCTTTGGATTCAGGAGTCCCTGCCAGCTGTGTGACCATCACTGTTGGTATGGGGACACCAGAAGTGTCCTTTCCTTGCCTTTGGGGGAGCTAACACACTGTAAAGATCATTATGCCAGTGGTAATATGGGGCACTGTGGGAATCCCCAGAAGGCAGGACTAAGGAGTATAAAAAAGAAAAATAGGGAAACTGGCATTTGATTTGCACAGTTATATTTTGAACTAGACAATGATATTCCATTTAAGGAAAGAACAAAGCTTAAAGAGCTATAATGATTTGCCAAGATCTTTCCTCTAAGAAGCAGTAAAATGGAGAGTAATAATTCAGTTTCCCAGACTCTTCAGTTTAGAACCCTTTTAAAACTAGAACAAGTGCCCTTCCCTGCGGCTTATCTTGCCTATATGTTGGCAGTAGCATGGTCTCACAAAGCAAGCAGCCATTCAGGCCAGGGGTGGCAGCAGCGCCTGCAAAATAAATTGGGCAAAGCTCAATGCTTAATTTATATTCCAAGCCTCCTGATGCTGTTCAGAATTTTACCCAATTCCAAAGTATTAAGACTCGGGCCAGGGAATTAGCTCAGTGTTACCACAGCCTGCTTCACACGCACAAGGTCTTGAGTTTGAACCCCAATACCAAAAAAAAGACTATTAGATTCTTTATAACTAAGAAAATCAAATCAAAGTGACTAACTGAGGAAGGAAATGTATTGATTGACCTGATGAAAACTCCAAACTGTGATAGCTGAGTCTAGGTTCTGGCTGGGCGTGGTGACATACGCCTGTAATCCCAGCACTCAGGATGCTGAGGCAGGAGGATCGCTGTGAGTTTGAGGCCAGCCTGGGCTACATACCGAGTTCCAGGTCAGTCTCAGCTATATAGTGAGACCCTGTCTCAAAAAAACAAAAAACAATCCCAGCACTCAGGAGACTGAGGCAGGAGGATCGCTGTGAGTGCCAGCCCAGCCTGAGCTACATAGTGAGTTCAAGATCAGCCTGAACTACATAGTGAGACCCTGCCCCCCGCAAAAAAATCCAAGTTCTGATACTATCATCAGGAATAATTTCATCTTGCTCTGAGTGACCTCTTAGTTAAACTCCAAACAGGTAGCCACTCCAGGTTTATATCCTGATATATCAGTAATGATGGTGGTTATCTTTGACAAAGGGGCCAGACACCTTCACTGTAAGAAAGCCTCTTTAATAAATGATGCTGCAAAAATTGGCTTTCCAAAAAAATAAAAATTTAAAAATTGGGTTTCCACATGCTAATAATTGAACCTAGACCCATCTCACCATGTACTAAACTAAAATCAAAATGAATCAAAGGTCTAAATATTAAAAAAGAATCTGCTGGAAGATAGAATAGGTAAGACTCTTGAAGACAGATATAGGCAAAGTTTTTACAAACAAAATATCCGTCACATAGGAAATATTACAAAGAATCAATAACTAGGATCACATAAATTAAAAAGCTTTTGCACAGCAAAATAAACCACAATAGAATGAACAGACAACTCTCAGAATAGTAAATAATTTTTACCAGCTACTCCTCACACAAAGGACTAACATCTAGACTGTATAAACAACAACAACAACAAAAAATCAGACCCCCCCAAAAAAAATTTAAAGACCTAATGCAAAGATAATTATCTGGAATGAATAGGCATTTCTCAGATGAAGAAGGACAAACAGAAAAGATGAAAAAATGTTTAACATCGCTGGCCATTTGAGAACTATAAATCAAAACAACACCAGGAGGGCCAGGGATTTAGCTCAGTGATTCTGCCACCAGCTTCACAAGCGCAAGGTCCTGAGTTCGATCCCTGGTATAAAAAAAATGGCTATCATCGAGAAATCAATAATAAATGTGTGCAGGGTAGTGGCGAAAAAGGAAATCTCTGCTGCTGGTGGGAGTGTAAATTGGTACAACCACTACGGAAAATTTTGTGTGGAGATTCCCCACAAAACTAACTAGAAGTTCCATATGACCCAGCTGTTCCCCTTCTGGATATCTTCCTGAAAGAGTTAAGAGCATCATACCACAGTGATATATGCACACCCATGTTTATAGCAGCACTATTTATGATAGCTAGATCTTGGAAACAGCCCAGATGCCCATCAACAGATGAGCAGATTTTTTTAATTGTGGTTTTTATATACAGTGAGATACTGCTGTGCCATAAAGAAAGATGAACTGGAGCTGTTTTTAGGTATATGGATATACCTTGACACCAAAATTCTAAGTGAAATCAGACACAAGTTAATTTTTTCATGAGACAAGTTCTCCCTGTGTAGTTCAGGCTGACCTTGAACTCTTGGTGATCCTCCTGTCTCAGCCTCCAAAGTGTAGGATTGCAGGTATGCACCACCATGCCTTTTCAGACACACAAGTTTAAATATTACATTTTTCTCTTGTGTGACAAACCCAAAGAGTAAATAAGGAGCATAATGGAGGATGGATTGGGAAGTGGGAAGAATATATTCAAATAGGAAGGGGAAAGGGAGAGGGAAGGGGAAGGGGGAAAGGAGAAAAAAGAATGGAAGAAAAAAATGGAAACAAAGCCTTGTTTTTTGGTGTGTTGGGGGGGTGCATTGAGATAGCGTCTTGCTATGTATTTTAGATTGGCCTTGAACTCACTGTGAGTCCAGGCTGGCCTCTAATTCACAGTGATCCTTCTGGTTTAGCCTACCAAGTGATGGGTTTACAGGCGTGCACCACCACACCCAGTATGAGGCTTTTGTAAATGGAGAGG